AGAAACAGCTGCCTAACACACACACCAGCCATTTCAAGATACTGTCATTTCACATGGGGAGAGGGATATTTAATTCCAAAATTAATATCCACATAAGCATGATATTGAAGCCAGATTGGAGGAATTATTTTCCCGTAAGGAAAAAAAAAAAAATGCCTTTTCAGTAATAGCGCTTTAGGTTTTGTCCCAGCTCTCCCCCGATGTAATTTAGGTACTTAGAGATTTGCTGATATGAAGCCTCAGCCACTGCTAAGGTTTTGTCATTTTTTGTTGAAAATTTATCTGAGGAAGAATTTGAATTGTATTCACCTTCTTCGAAAGAGCTGCAGCAGCAAAAGCTCTCTGCTAAACGGGTTCCATTTAAAATGTCTCAATGTGATCCTGCCAGATCCTAAAATAATTACCGCGTCAAAAGGCAGATGTGGCTTTAGTTCTGAATGAGTCTTATCATCCTGTACCTTTTCATGGGGTGGGAAGAAAGATCAACGACATAACTCTATGTCAAGAAAACATGCTGAGACAGAGGCCATCTGAGTCCTCGGGAACACCCCGAAGAAAGGTCCAGCGGTTCAAGCACTAGCCAGAGATCCAGCTTTCCTGAGTACTAGTAAGACCTCTGCCAATTATAGAACTGTATGAGATTTTGAGTTAATAGGGTCACTGCTGCTCCATGAATGACTACAGGAACTATGAAAAAAAGACTTTATTGGCAATGGCTGTCTGAGCCAACAGAATAGGAAGGAAAAGATCCTGTTGCCCAAGCACAGATGATGCTGCAGACCTTGGAAGGACACAGGCAGCCAGCAATGCCATCTAAGCCTAGCCTCTAGTTTTATAAATTATTAAGTAGCTATGACTTATAAACTAAAGGTGCATGAAAGGCTGTTGGGCCTGATGTTGGATACACTTGTTATTAATGAATTTTGGCATTTTTTTTTCCATTTTAAGAGGGGTGGGTGTACGAGGAACAAACAATCCTTGCATGAAGTACTAATGTTAGTGCTGGTGTACAGACTACGTCAATCTCAAATTCTGTACTATCCAAGGTTTACAAAACTGATTTGCTAGGCCAGGTAAATATCTTCAAATCACCTGCTTAATCCAACTTACCATTAGTATCCTGCTAAGGACACTTAGAGCCAACTCCCACTTCAGACAAGTTGAACATACCTTCCTCCCACCGTGAGCAAACTTCTCTTGCTTGTAGGTGGGGCAATTGTGTCAGTATTTTTCCCCATATACACAGTTAAATTAAAAATCTAGTAGCTGTTAGGGTTTCATGTGGTCAGTAATTCCCCAAGAAGTCAGTCAAGACCCACACTTTGGGAGTTTCCTGAGTGCCAGAAGATAGGATACACAGGTACTAAAAACCCAGCGTCCACATGCATCTCTGCATAGCTTGGAATAAGTACTTCCTGCACACACAACCTTGAGACACTGCTCAAATTTCTACTTCGCCAGCCATTAACCTTTCTCTCACGCACACAAAATGTGGTAACAGAGACAAGAACTTTTGCTCATATTTTTTTAATGTATCACAATGAGCAGGAAACATACTTGATGAAATATTTCAAAGGAGTATATTCAATTACCATCTACAATCAACTTAACTATGACAACAAAGTTTTTGTGACAAATTTCTTTTTTTCAGTTTGAAAGTTCCATGTGGTTCTGTTAGTCTCCATGTATTTTGGTACAGTTCGAGATCAGCATTGTTACAGTAACAAAAAAGCTAACAAGACTACATTATAGAAAAACACCAAGAACATCATTTTTGGTTTCACTTGCTCTATTTTTTTTTTTTTTTGTTTTTTGTCTTTTTTATTTTTTATACATTGCAAAGGCTGTTCATATACCTCTTCACCTCAGGGTCACGTTCATTTATGCTTTCTTTCCTACCCAAACTTGTCCCCCCTCCCCCCTGAAGAAAGTAAACAAACAAAAAACTAGTCAAAGCTTTGTTTCACAGTGGGCAGTATCTCAGCGCCAACAAACAACGAACTCAATTTATGCTTCTATTTAAAATGTTTTAATTTAATTTATTATTTAAAAAAAATATATGGACATCAAGTGCATTGGCTTGGGTCATTGCCTCACTCTCCTGCAACTTCCTGCCATGCCTGATAAACTCAGGTTTAAACACATGCCGTCTGTTTTACTTTATTTTCAATTGTGTAAAACTTTGGCCACATTCATCTCTTTAAATAGCTTTTAATTTTTTTAAAACAAAACAACTTCCTAGATGTATTAAACTTTTCTGTGTGTATGTGTTTTACTTTCTTTTTGAAAGGACAGATGAAGTTACCCCGATTCTGTGGGTCAGTCTGGTGCTACAACAGAATTAGTGTCTAGCACCAACCCACCCTAGGATTATTTGAGAAAAATGAAATGAAAAACACCAGCCAAAAGATGAAGTGCCAATGGAGGTTAAGAACTAATTTAAAAAGTAAGTTGAGATCTCCTACTCAGCTACCTACTATACAGCAGACAGGAGTGAATTCCCCAAACGAGGTCAATCAAACAGTTGAGTGTTGTAGTGAATTCACGCTTTGCAAATGGCGCAGGCATAGCCACGGCAGGTGCCAGCCTCCAAGCAGGGGACTGGCTTGAGTCTGACTCCTCCTCTGCACCATCACCGACTACTTTGCTACTTCTGGGTTAGTGCTGAGAACCGCTTTTTCTTTTTTGAATGAACGTATGTGTGGGCGGTGTAGCTGCGGAGGAAAACATCAAGGGTGCAACCCACTCCAGGTTGAGGCAGTCGCAGCACCCTCTGAGGAACGTGGGTGGCTGGGAGCATGCTTAGCCGATCTACCCTGCCACCTTCCTGTTGCCAAACACACCCACCAGTCAAGGCATGGCAGCACAAAACACTGACAGTCACTCTGCCTCACAGAGGGAGGATGCCATAGTAGCTCAAAAAAAAAAAAAAAAAAAAAAATGGGGAAGGGGTGGCAAAATTACAAAGGAACTTGAAGTTGGGGGAGGGGAGGGATAGAAATTGCACTATTACCAAGCAATATCATTTTTAAAAAACAGTTTTCAGAGAAGACCTAGAAGAATTTGACAGGTAAAGCTAGTGTTAAATTGTTAACTGGTATCACATAGAGAACCAAAAACAAAAACAACTTTTTTTCTATGATACAGACACAGAGTAACGTACAACAGTTAAATGGCAAAAAATATATATATATATTTCATAGAGTTACAAACAAGATAAAATAATGGAAAGCAAAAAAAAAAAACTGTACAACTTTAAAATTTAAAAATGTTCATCTCAAACACAGGGAGAAATACAAGAATTCCTCTTAAAAAGAAACAGCTTGTTAAAACAGCAAATGTTTTGTGTAACTTGTTTTTGACACTTTATGCTACAACTGGATACTGATATGAAGAGTTAAGATGGTATTCTTTAGTATTTCTACTTAAAAAAATTAAAAAGAATTTGCACTGTGCATCAGCCTAGTTAGAAATATGTACAACAGTTCAGGATCTACTCTTTAACTAAAAACAAATTCATACAAATAGTCCTGGCTAAAAAAGAAAAAAAAAAAAGAACAAAGGAAAAAACCTCCATTTTCAGATCTTGGAATGCTCCAGTCTTCTGCAAAGTCGATGAGTGGCTTCAGCACTGGGGAAAGAAGCCGAAAGGTGACCAGCGGAACTGGCACTCACAGTCTTCAAAGTTCCCTTTTGAAACATAAGGAAGAGAATAAAGGGGAGAAAGATTTCACACTTTGGGGATATGGGGAGATTGTGTCTGTTGATGTTTAGCTATGAAAGTGGAACAGCAAAGTATTTGTCTCCAACACCTACAGTTTAGCAGCACAAAGTTTTCAAAATTCAGACTTTTTTTTTTAAGATAAAAAAAGGGTGTGTTGTTGTGTTGTGTTACAGGAATATGGATATTAACATAAATACAGGCGCCTCACATGCGATTTCCTTTTTTGCTTTCTGTTCATTGCTATCTGCTTTGTTGGCTGCGCTCTGGAACCCTCGCTGCTCAGACTGCCTAACACAGGACAAAACTTTGAAGTAAAAATGTGTCTTTTGGTATATGGAATTGTCATTAACAGTTGCCTCTCTGCTTCCAGAAGAAGCACCTAATCACCTGGGAATCGTGTTTTATTCTTTCTTTTATTAAACTAAGTCTTGTTGGTTTAAATCAGAAACAAATTCTCAAGTAACAAGAACCCTTTCCCTTTTTTCTGCATCAGCAGTGAAAGGGTGTGTCTTTGGATTTTATTTAAAGCATGAAATTTCTTTTTTTTCTGAGAGAGGAAAGAAAAAAAACACAAAAACAGAAAAACCAAACTCCTAACCAAAAACTTTAGAAAGAAAAGCACATAGCTCAGTTACACAAACTGAAACAAATGCTTTAGTCAGGAAAAGAATATTCAAAGCATCGACCAGACAAGAAGGAAGAGGGGTGTAAAGAAAAGCCAAAGGAAAGATAAATAAAAACTAAATGCACAAGGCTATCAAGACATAGGTCACTAGAATTATATGCCTTTCAAAAGTTTCAACTCCCCAACCAAAAATAATCTGTGAGGATCCTAATGACCCCTAGAATCCTTTGAAATTTTCTAGAGTTTTATAAAATAATTCTGCCGCCACCCTCTAAGAAATGAAGGCAGCTACCTAAGTGGGAGATTATAGGATGGGAACTGGGAAGAGGAAGAGAGGAAGCGGAATTAAGGGACAAAGGAGAGAAATGCTTAGGCAAATCAACAGATTGCAATCTATCTGCTAGGAATGAACAAGACAACATCAAATGAGGAGCTGTCAGCTGGACCATACAAAAAGCTAAATGTACACAAAAGGGTTTTTTTTTTTCCTTTTAAATCTACCATACTGCTTCAGTTCATTTCCAATGCAACAATCTACTCAACACCAAAAATGGTCATACCTATCATAAATACATAAAGTCAGTTTTTAAAACTTATTATTTTTTAAGCTACAAGTCCTCAACACTCTTTGTGTATGTGGGTTTTTTTTTCTCTGAAAGTGGGAGTGTTTTAACTTTTCCCCTTGCAATTGGCTTCAGCAGAAAAGCTATCCTTAAAAATCCCCAGAAAGCTAAAGCAGTTCACATTGTTTTTCTCGAATACTTTCTGCCCATTTTTAAATTAAAACAACAACAAAAAAAATCTTTTCTGGAACAACAACAACAAAAAGAAAACCTGAAAAAAATAATATATATAAAACAATGATTCTGAAAACAGAACAAAGTGTGAGCGATTGACCTGAGAATAAAAAGACATTACATTTCTTTTTTTTTTTTTTTCTTTTAGCAAGCCATTGGTATCTGAATGCTAAGACAGCAAGAAATTTAAAACTGTAACAAGGTGGACTGCTTTCCCATACAGTGCATGCCGGGCTCCTCTGTGCTATCACGGTGGGGCATTTATTGAAAAGGGGGAAATATACAAGGGGTTTAAGCTCCAAAGACATTAGGGAGGCCCTGTGGACGTGTGTTTCCCAGACCAATAGTACCTTCAAAAGGACACAATGTAACAGGGTTAGGGTTTTTGTTTTTTAAATATTAAAAGAAGAAGAAGGAAAAAAAAAAAGACAATGTAAAATCACCGGCATAGATAGGTATATGGGAAAACAACCCACGCTTTTTTTTTTTTTTTTTTTTTTCTTTTTTTTTTTTTTGTTTTTTGTTTTTTGTTTGTTTTTTGATTTTTTGGTTAGAAGCTTTGGAATTGCAGTTAGTCTATTTTTGAAATTGGTTTGTTATTAATTTTTTATTTAAATTCATTTGTTTGTACTGTTCATCTTCAAAGCTTACAATCTGAAGGTGTCCGTTCCTACACTGGTCAGACCACTGTCCTTGGGGCAGCTGGGGTCTTTGGACCCCTCCACCGGGCTCGCCGGTCCGTCGGACTTTTGGCTGAGATCCGTGTCAGACGACTCCGAATACTCGTCTGTTGGCATCGAGGGCTGAACCCCTGAGGTGCTGCATGAACTTGAGGTAACCGTTGAAGATGAGGAGAGAGGAGGAAAAGAAGGGGGCTTCGCTGCCGAAGCCCGGGAGACCACCTGCGGCCAAGACTTCCTGGAGGCGTGGGGGGAAGCGGACGAGGGGGGGGCGGCGGCCGACGGGGGAGGGGGACTGTCGTTTGAGCGAGCGGCAGACTGCGAGGTAGATGCGGTGCTAGGATCGGGGAAGCAGGCAGAGTGAGGTAATAAACTAGGGTGCTCTTTGGCGTTTCTTGCTGCTCTCGTGATTGTTCTGTGTTTGTGCAAGGCCGACTCGAGATGTTGACTCAGAGCTTCCTCCCCACACAGCGCGCTCTCGCACGCCAGGCAGTGGTATGAGCCGCCGCCGCCGCCACCACCACCGCTGCCGGTGGGGACGTGAAGCACCATCTCTTGCAGGTTCGCCACAGACTGGCCGAAGAAGCAGAGGGACTTCAGGTGGCTCCTCGCCGCCTCCTCGTCGCCGAAGCCCGCCTGGCACTTGCGGCAGACCAACTTGTACTGCACCTTTGGAACAATGAAGGGGTCGTAGAGGGAGTCCGCACTTTTGCTTTCTGCTTCTGGCTCTTCAGGGGGTTTCGGCAGGAGGGGGGACACCTCACGGGGGGCGTTTTTCTGCTCTTCTGGTTTGGGGGATTCTTTGGCAGGGTCTTTGTCTGGGGAAGCAGCCCCCTGGGGGACTGGGGTTTGGCTTGCTTTGGGCTGCCGCTGCTGCTGCTGCTGCTGCTGTTGCTGCTGCTGCTGCTGCTGCTGCTGCTGCTGCTGCTGCTGCTGTTGCTGCTGCTGCTGCTGCTGCTGCTGCTGCTGCTGCTGCTGCTGCTGCTGCTGCTGCTGCTGCTGCTGCTGCTGCTGTAGTTGCCGCTGCTGCTGCTGCTGGATGGCCTCCTGCAGACTCTGCTGGTATTGCTGGTACTGCTGCAGTAGGGAGCCCGGGGACAGCCCCATCAGGGCCTGCGACAGTGCAGGGCTGTAGGGGAATAGGCCTTCCATGCCATACATAGGCTGCAGGTACCCACTCTGCAGGGCGCCAGGGATCTGGGGGGCGTAGTAAGGAGAAAAGCCTGGTACAAAGTAAGGAAGGAACTGGCTCGTGAGCAATGCTGTGGGGTCTGAAGTCAAGGCTGCCTGCAGGGCCTGCAGCTGGGCAGGGTCCACTGCATACTCCATAGAGGGCAGTGGGGCTGAGATGGTGGCTGCAGCCGCTGTAGGGGCCTCTCCTTTCTCCTTCTTGGGGACAGGCAGGGGTTCACCTTTTCCTTTGTGTGCCTTTTCCTTCTCCTTTACTTTCTCACTGTCTTTGCGTGGCTGTTGAGGTGGAAGCTGTGGTGTGGGTGGCGGCTGGGCTGCTGGAGGTGGGGGAGGCTGCTGCACCTGTGGTGGCGGTGGCGGCTGCTGCTGTTGCTGCTGCTGCTGCTGCTGCTGCTGCTGCTGGGGTTGGGGGTGCTGCTGAGGGGCCAACGCCATTGTGGCTTGTGCTGGGGTCGGGGAGCTCAGTGACGCTGAGGACGGCTTATTTGGTAATCCAGATGTGGGGAGGCCAGGGGAAGGAACTGTTGTGCCGGGCAGACCCATCAAGTTCGGTTTAGGAGACGTTAAAGCTGCAAGGAATAGAGAGACACAAAGAGAAATCAGTCTAAGATGGTAAGGCTGAAATTCCAAATTTTTACCTGTGTCACTGGCATTACGTCTTAAATGCCAAGGTTTAAACTTGAAGGATCTTCTCAAAACCAATGTCTTTAAATCAAGAACCAGTCCTGGGTCAGCTCGCCCACCACCCTCTGCCGTAACAGCATCCAGGACCTTCCTACCCAGCATGCCATGTTTCTCAATACATAGTCTCCTTGCCACACACTCCCAGATGCCTTGCACTCTGACCCACACAATGAGTCTGGGGCCCCCATACTGGCTGTTTCCAGCTCAAACATTTTTGAGCCAAAGGCCTCCCTTGAAGTGCCGCAGAAATAATATTGTCCTGGGGCTGGGGAGATGGCTCAGTGGAATAAATGCTTCCCTGGCAAGCGTGAGGGCCCAAGTTCAATCCCTGGTTCTGTCAAAAAAAGAAAAAAAAAAAGAAAAAGAAAGAAAGAAAGAATACAGTCCTGAGAGCCCACCAGAAGTGGTTTGGAAAACAAAGCCAAAGCAAGAAAACTGCTAAGGCCCCCAAGGCCACAGGAACAAACAAAATGGGCTCGAGGCGAGTTCTTCCTCTCTGACCAGGACAGAGAAAAAGGAATGAATGGGGAAGTGTGGAAGATGGGCCTTGAAAAATTTAAACAACTCATTCAGAGAACACTGCTCCAGTACCTCCCCTCAGTTAACCCGCTCTGACAACTCTGTTGAATAAGACTACTGCCCCCTCCTGCGCCTATGAATGATACATACGAGGACCAAAGGCCTGCAGATGCCTGAGAAACAAGCCAGAGCAAGAGGAGAAAAGCAGCATCAGAAATAAACAGCCCAAATGCTGGCCCTGACAATTCCTAAGATAGCAGAGCCTCTCTTAGGGCACCACAGAATATGGCTCCCAGAGGTCTCTGTCTCTGACCATGTCGCCAGGCCCCATCCTCAGTCATGCTCATCCCTAATCCACTGCTACCTGCGTAGCATTCACCACCCCACCCCCGCAGAGCCTGATGGCCTTCCTGGCACACAGGTATCTTCTGGATCAAGTCTGCAGCTGCGGGGCTGCTGCTGCCTCTGCCGCTACACCAAGCCTCAGGTGTGTTAGGACCAGCACAGTGTTGAGGAAGGACAGCATGGGCAGGGAAAGGCCGAGTGTGCTGGAGGATGTAAGAACAGGTAAGGGGACACACGAGCAACAGCCCTCAGAGCACCTCTACATCCACCACACCCCAAACACTCCACACACAGTTCACTTCAGAGGGCAGGAAAATGTAAAATAAAATCTCAATCACGTAGCCTCTTGATATTTCAACAGGATCAGAAAACTGGGATAGAGAGCTCATAGCATGACACACTCCTCATGAGAAGGAAAAAATAAATAAAAAACAACAACCACCAAAACAACAACAACAACAACCACCTAGAATTCCATGTCTGGCCACTCTTCCCTCCCAGACCTGGGTGAAGACTATGTTGATTTCCAATCAGAACAGTACAATATTCACTGCATTCTCATAACCCTCATATTGCGGTTAAAAGACAAAAGTTGCTTCCAGCTGCCAGTTCCAGGAAAACACCTGCTAACACTGGTGGCAAGGAAGCAGCTCCGCTCAGCGTCACAGCAAGTACTGCGCCAAAGCAGCAGAGAGGGACTGCTGAAAGCACCCCAGCCAATGTCTTCAATGCACATCAAAGACCGGTCCAGAGGAGATAATGTAACTGACTATATTAAAAAAATTCGACAGCTTGGTTAAATTGGCTCAAATGAGGCAGAGACAGAGTAGATAATAAATCTTGAACATGGAACATGGCTCTGTCTGTCTGCCACCAGGCAATGAGCTGTCTTACATTTTAGATTTGGGGCCAAAGTCAAAAGATCTTTCCCCAAACCTGTTGCTTTGAGCATTTAAGAGAAAAATTCAGGTGAGAGCCTTGAACTAACTTGGTGCGTGCTGAACTGAGGTCCATAAAAGAGACATCTTTACAAGATTTGCTAGACCCCTACGGTAGCAAGTGCTGTACAGACTGCACCACAAACAGGAGCTTAATACACTTTCCCAGTGGTTCTTGCTCTTGTCGTTTTTGCTTGGTGAGAGCAGAACCGAGTAAGGTGCTTCATCAGCCTGTGTCTTGGCCCCGTACTCTGGAGTCAGACTGCCCCTGTGTGGATAACGCCTGACAAAACCCGATAGATGGCCTTGGGTCCACTAGCTGACCTCCTGAAACCTCAACTTGCCACAACAGATACTTGTAGAGGTTCCATCCAAGAGCATACAGGAAGACCTAACATGGAGCTGACACGTAATTAACACCAGTTCCTTCCCTCCCAGTCCAGATCCAGTGCTCTTGAGAACTATGGTAGGGTAAGGGGTCTTAAGTGGGGCACACCTGGCTACCTCGAATGAGTAAGAGCAGTTTTCTATCTTGAGTCCACTTTACGTGGTCAGAACCTCAGTAGCACTAAACATATACCTGTTGACTGACTGGCTCATATTGGGTGTTGTGGAAGGAGCACATAGCACTGGGAGCCCGGAGGCCTGGGCAGGAGCTCTGGCTCCCACCCTAGCTTGCTGAATGGTCTTGACCTCTCTGGGCCTCAGTTTTCTCATCTGTAAAACAAGGGGAATAGATCAGACATTCTGATTCTACTTTTTCCCACATTATTATGATATGTTGGGAGTTCTAAGGCCCTGGGATGCAAGGATAATTCCATGTCTGGCCACTCTTCCTGGAGTACTTCTTGGCTTATGTCTAGCTGGCTTTAGCATCATTCTTTTTCTCCTTATTCTCTTTGGATACAAAACTGAAACCAGGAATTCAGTAGGCTTATAACACTATAAAACTTGCCATTAATTCACCCAGAAACTAAGAGCAGCTTCAGCCCTTGGAAACAGGGACACATTCTGAAGGCCATGGGACACTCTGAGGGGATCCCCTTCAGTGAGCATGTACAGGTCAGCACTGATAGTTTTGAGGGGCTACTTGCTGGTGTGTGATTAATCCTCCCAGGACCCTGGAGGGGAAGGCCCAATGTAGGAAAGACAGCTGGATCCAGAGAAGATGGGTGAGCACAGAGGAGAAACAAGAAGTCTATAAGAAGAACTGCAAAACTCCCTATTGACATGGAATATACAAGTATCAAGTATTATTGATTTTACATGGCTGGGAGTGAGGAAAAAGAAACTAGAGGGGTAACTCTTGAGCCCCAAAGCACACGTTAGAACTTCTGGATGACTAACACAAATATGTCCAAACTAAGAACCACACTGCGTAAAACATGACTTCTGGTCAGTGCATTCAAGCAGAAAGGCAGTTTCTTTAAAAACTAACATAAGCACTGTTGTTCTGGCTAGAAGAGAACTCCAGAAGTAAGGAGCTACATAAGACCTTCTTTCTGACAGCAGATGTGTCAATACTGCTCTCTAAAAGAAGATGCATGGACCCTGGGTGACAACAAATAACTGATTTCAATTCTCTTTTAAATTCTCTCTGTAGGGTAAAACCTGGCAACAAATATAAAGGGATTGACCTTTCCAGGATAAATGAAAGGCAAGGTCTACAATGGGAACTTCTTAAAAATTTCCTAGAAATATGCCAGGTTTTCCCCTATACCACATACCCTGGTTGTAGTACTGAATACAGGGCACAAGAGTGGTTCCAGAGAAGACTGTATCAATCAGGAGTACCCATCTGTGGACTAGAAAGGAAACACAGAACAAAACCCACCATATACACATTGGCACTGGAAAGGACAGGCAGAAGGGAACTGCAGTCTTGTTTTCACAGAACCAGAAGGAAGCTTCCTGTCTGTCGGGCACTTGGTGAGTTTAGATGGAAACCACATAACAAAACTCTCACTGCACTTGACAACATTCACCTAGAGCAGAACCCACCTGTGTTGGATGGAGTAAAGCCTGGCAAGGAGGGGCTGTTGAGGCCTGGGAGCAACACAGGAGGAATGCCCTGGAGCGCAGGATACGCTGCGGGAAGGTTCAGAGCCTGCAGAGGGGTGTTGTCAAACATCCCCTGCTGCTGAGCTGCCAGTCCAAGGACCTCATTGGCCTTTTTAATCCGGTCCAGCTCTTGTTGAGCCATCAACTGACGTACAGTGGCTGGGTCAAAGTACTCTTTCTCCTTGTCCAACTGGCTTCCAATGGTGTCTTTAACTTTGGAGATATGCTGTTGGGAAAAGATATGGTCACGTACAGACAGCCGAGCGCTGTACTTGATGCCACACAAAGTGCACTCTGTTTTGGGTCCCTCATAACTCGTTTGGTTTATACCAAAATGCTTGGCCATGCTTAACTTGGACTTCTTTTCTTTTGCCCGGGCATTCTGAAACCAGACCTGAACGACTCTCTTTGGCAGTCCAATGTCATTGCCCAGGACCTCACACTCTAGCATAGTGGGTGTCCTATAGTCATTAAAGCATGACTTGAGGACCTTCAGCTGCAGATTGGTCATCTGAGTGCGAAAACGTTTCTGCCCAGGCCGATCCCCACTGTCACCAGATTTGCCTGCAGACCCACTCGCACCAGGACTTGGGGAACAGGGGTCTGCAAGACTTGAGGTTTCACTGTAGTCCACTGTGCCTTCGTTGTCATATTCCTTGCTATAAAAGCTTGGGGCTGGGCTGACCAGGCCGGATGACAACCGATCTTCATACTCAGACATTGCCATCATGGCTGCTTTGGTCAGTCCTTCACTAGGCGCAGAAGATTTGGTTTCAGTTGCTATTCCCGTCGCACTGTCATTATCCGCATTGCCCTCATCTCCTGTCGTGGTGTCTGTGATTGCCGTGTTGACAGAGGAACAGTCATCGTTGTCCAGCTTAGTTTGGTCAAAGTTTAGATTAACTGAGGACATGGAAGGGCTTTCAAAGTCTTCGATCCCTTCCACTTTGATGGAGGAAGGGCTGAGAAGAGTTCTGGGAGACAACTCCATGGTTTTACTCACAGGTGACAAGGGGACACCCTGACCATCACTACTGCTTGGGGGAAGGTGGGAAAAGCTAGTTCCATCAAAAATATCTCCTTTCATCTGGAGCCCACCATCACAGTCTAAGAGCATCGCTGACAGAGTTAGGTTATAGCCAGCTCTCTTGGCTTCGTGCCAGTGACGAGACCGGATATGAGCCTCGAGGGCAGTCTTGGCTTTGAAAAGCGCTCTGCAAAAAGGGCATCTCCTGTGGGCCTGCGCTGGGCCCACAGCCCGGAACTGTCCTTTCCGCTCCCGAGCTCGAGTGTTCTGAAACCAGACTTGCACCACACGTTTCTTCAAACCCACCTCATGCGCAATGTGATCCAGCATCTTTCGAGTTGGGTTGGAGTCCAGCAGATACTTTTGGTACAGAATTTCCAGCTGCTCTGGTGTAATAGTTGTCCTCAAACGTTTGTCTCTCTGAGGCTCTTCTCCTCCTGTGCCGCTGTCATTTTCACCAGGGCTTGCACTGGCCTTTTCCTCCAACTTCCTCTTCAGAGTGTTCATCGTGGAGGTTGGTGTGGAGGGCGAAGTGGCAGAACTTGCTGGAATCTGAGGTATGGCTCCAGAGAGCAGCTGGCTGGCCAGGAGGGGGTTACTGGGGTCGAACAGCATGAAAGGCATGTCCAGTGACCTGTCCAGGAACTGTGGGTGGATGAACTGGTTCTGCGCACTCAAGAAGTGAAGCTGCTGATGCTCTTGCCAGTGCTCAAACGATGGAAATGCCAACTTACACTGGTCACACTGGTAGGGGATGAGCTGAGGAGGTAAGTTGGCCAGTTGTTGAGGCGTTGATGTGTGGAGAGGTTTGAGGGGCAGATGGGAGAGCTGAGAGGGACTGGGGCTCGACTGAGGCAAGGGGCACTGAGGAGGAGGTGCCTGTGGAGGAGGCTGTGCTAAGGAAGGAGGGGCAGCCAGCTGAGGGAGCTTTGGCTGGGGCACGGTTGTCTTCTGTTCAGGATGGTCTTGTGGCTGAAGCTCCAGCTTTGGTTGTCCTTGCTTTTCTTGGGTTTGGTTTGGCTGAGCACTGGGAGGTTCGGCTTGCTTTGGTTTCTCATCACTTGCTTCTGTTTTTGAATTAAAGGTGGCCAGCTCGTCGGCCTCTGCTGTGAGCTGCAGGAAGGCAGAGGGAGCTGGATTGGCTGATGGTACTGGGGCACTGTAAGCCTGAGAAGGCATCGGGGTACTACAAGAGGAGCTGGTTGGTGTGAGGATCTCCATGGCATCCAGGGAGTCCTCATTCTGGCTGTCCTCCTGGCCTTCCTCATCCTCATCCTTATAGCACAGCTTCTTCTGGTGCTTGATGAGATCAAAGATGCGCTGAAACACCAGACTGCACTTTTTGCACTGGTAGTTCAAGTTGCTTGTTCGAATATACCTGTCATTTGTAAGCTCACGCCGCTCTCCATCTTTGCCCTCTCCCTGATTCTCATAATTTTTCCTGGCCTTCTGTCGGGCATTCTGGAACCACACCACAATGACTCGGGTTGGAAGGTTCAGTAAGTTAGAGAGTTGCTCAAATTCATCATCCTTTGGGTAAGCATTGGCATCAAAGAAGTCCTGGAGGACTCGAAGTTGGTAGTCAGTGAACCTTGTTCTTGATGATCTCTTGCTTCCCCAGTACTCCTGCTTTTGAGGCTCTGGGGAAGGAGGCCGAGAGTCAATCTTGAGCTCCTCCAGGCTGGTGATGGGGGGATTGCTGAAGTTGTAAGGTGAGTCCTTGTTACGCTGCCGCTCTTTGAAGAGAGTGTTCCTGAACCAGTGCTTGATCACCTTCTGGGGCAGCCCGGACTTGTCGGCCATCTCTTTGATCTGTTCTTCACTGGGGGAATTGTTAATGTCGAAATACTGCCGGAGCACTCGGAGCTGGTCATCCGTGATTCTGGTGCGAGGCCTCTTGTTCTGCTGCTGGAGCAGGGTTGGATTGAGCTGATGCTGATAGAGCTGAGCCAGGTCTGCGGGCAGAGGCTCCACAGGGCCGAGCTGAGGGGGCAGCTGAGCCGGCAAAGTCTGCAGTGGCATGGTCTGCATCATCAGTGGGGAGAAGATGGGCAGCTCCATCGGCATAGAGAGCTGGGTGAGTGGCACGGAAGGCTGGGCTGGTGCGATGGTTGGTGAAGTGATAGGCGGGGCTGACGCAGGGATGGCCGGGGCGGAGGCTGGCTGAGGGGGCGCTGCGGGAAGCGGGGGTGGGGG